AAAAAAATAACCCTGGCCAATCCAATACCATAATTTATCAATAGAAGGGAATGAACAAAATAATAGTTCATGTATTTGGGGTATAATCCTCTTTTATTGTTCATTTTAATTCGCTTTCAAAATATATATTTATATATATATATATATATATATATAATAGATATGGCAACACTTATTATCTGACAACATGGAACCCATTTGTTATTGTTCATATTACGAAAATTGTGTAAAAATTAAATGCTTAATTAAAGCAAATACTTAAATATTTAATATAAAATAAATATGTAGAAACACTGAAGTGAAAAGTTAGTGTATAATAAGTGCATAATATAAAAGAAAATATAACCATAAATCGAGAAATTGTAAAATGAATTTTGTGAAATTTTCAACTTAAAATGCAAATATCTCGAAAACTATAAGTTTCCGGCGGCAATAATTATATATATTCGTGATCTGGAGAATCTCCTCTATCCAACCATACGCCTCTTAACCCTGAAATCGTGGGATGCTAAACTAAAGCCCACCCAAGCAATGAAAATAATAAACACGATTTTAGGAGATCACAGTACTCCATTACATATAATCTATTCACTAATCAAGACTGTTTCACTGCCGTTGGAGATTTATAACATCTGTGTTTGACTAACCGATCGAAGCTGTGGCACTTTTTTTCGCTACAACTCTAGTAGATCGGCTTCAGCAGCCTCATTTCACATTACTCTCATTTTTTGGCGAACACGAATGCCAGAACAAAATAGAATCTATGATAAATTGCCAGAATCCACCATACAGCTAAATTCGTAGTTGCCAGAATGTTGGAGTGGTGAAGTTTAGTTAACAAACTACTATATAAAGGCTGCCGGATTGTGCAACAGACACTGTGCTGCTTCGTAAAGAGCTATAAGCAATAAGTTGTAAACTTGAACAACGATTAATAAGAGTTATGTTATTTAAATTACAAATAAAGAAAGGTGCATATCCATTAAATTGGGACTTTGATTTAATATCCAGCGATCGAACTCAAGAGTGAGTTGCTTGGTAGACGATTTATAGAGAAATCCGTTACAATATTTTTTAACTTTGACAATTTGTAGTGTTTAAATCAGCTGCGAAAATGTGATAAATTTCTGTACTGACAAACAGATGGCTCTAAATCGGAGTCGCACAGGGAGGTTTCAAATAGATTAGCCATTTGGTGTTATTTTCTTATAACGAAATTTTACTAAATCTAGTAGATTAGTGAGATAATTTACGCAACAGCCTAAATCCCCTGATTAAGTGTAGGTCGGAACATGGTATTACTTTACAAATTTATATTATCGCCTGAATAAACATGCCTTTTTTATGGTGTTAAATTACTTTTTGTAAATCCTTTCAAAATATCTTAATTTTTTTCCATAAACTCAATAATTGTGGCACTGTGTGTTATATTCTTATGTGTTTCCCTATAGAAATAGGGATACGGCAATTCGTACCAATAAAATACATTAATTTCTTAACTTACATTTTAATTCTGTCAGCGACTATCTTCTTGATTTGTTTCTGATAACAAAACCGATAAAATTGGTTTCCATGACATCCAAAACCGATACAATTTCTGTTTCGAACATCAAACCAATAATATCTGAATTCATGGCACCTAGTAAATTTTTTTTATCGGTTCCAATTCTATTCCGACAACTATCAGATTCTACAACACCCCTGATTGAAAAACTTACCTATTCGATCGAAAGAAATTACGTTTAAGTCATTGAAGCCGTATCGAAACAAAATTTTCAGTGAAATAGTACTTTTTTACCGACTCGATAAAATACATTCCGTGACTATAGATGACACTAATTTCGAAATCATTGAAATTTCGTGCAAAACCGAGAATATTTGTCAAAATCTCCGTTGATAAAAAAATGGGGCATTTGTAAGTATTTATGTGAAAAAATTGCTAAAGTCGCACTAAATTATGTTTAAGTCGGTATTTTAGATTCAAGAGACAAAAACACATCAACAAAAATCAATTTGAAGTACATATTTAAGATATTTTTATAAAGGTGGAAAAATATTCACGGTATTCGGTAGCTGGGGGCTTGAAATGTTAGTGTCCGATTTCTATAATTTTTAGACGTGAGGCGGTATACCTTAAAGACACTATTTGGGCAACGTTTAATTTCGATGGCTTCGTTGGTGCTTTACTTATATACTGTAAAATGAAATAATCAGATGAAATTTAAAACAGTGTCATATGGTCAGTAAGCGTGGTTGTGATAATTCTTGTTGTTGTAACGGCAGAAAACATTCCTAAGTAGTATTTAAACGATGCGCAGAAGGCAGGTGTGATCAATTTGAGACTTTTGCGTGAATAACGTAACGAGGTAACGTTTCTTCGTCGCTATTGTTGTTGATATATTTGGTAGACATGGGAAAAGAAATTATGGTTATCTCCGATGGAGTTAAAGACGAGATCAAAACATTATTGAATGATGGTGTGAGTTATCGCTAAATTTAGCCTGGAGAAGAGAAGGTACACCACGTTAAGCCTACGCTGAAGTTTGGAAGTTTGGAAGGCATGACGACCAATGATGTTGGTAGGTTGGGGAAATTCGAGAGAAGAATGACGGCAAAGTCTTATATTGAGGTTATTCACAGCTATTCACAATGATCCGAAACATATTGCAAGGGCATCTCGCAAATGGCTCCAGGACAACAATATTAGTACGCTACATTATTAGTTGGCCTCGGCAATCTCCGGTTTACTGTGAAACACGGCTTCAGCTTATGCCCAGGCTTATGGCGGCAAAATTTCAGATCGTTTTAATTTTAGAGCCGAAGAAAAATAACTAAATTTAATTCTAATCGGAAACATATACGTTTCGACATATTCGCATTTATTGATTTATAGTTAATTGTTTTTATATTATATATGTTATTATGCACTCATAATTCACTTACACTTCAATACATTGTTTCCATATATTTATTTAGTCGGCTTTAGAATACCGTCCCAGGGATAGAGGAGATCATCCAGATTAAGAATATATATAGATCCGCGGGAAACTTATAGTTTTCGAGATATTTACGTTTACAATTTAAAATTAATTATACACTTATATTTTTCACTTTTGTTTCCACTAACACTTTACTAATTAATTTTTATACATTTTTTTATATTAAATAATGCAAAAATAACTTTATTTCAATATTTAAATCATTCTTCAATTTGGGAAAACTTTAGTATACCGTCCCAGGCTTTCGGGGATAAAATGGGTATGGGCGGATAAAGTAGATCCTTTAGATCAGTAATATATATAGCCTCCGAAAACTTATAGTTTTCGAAATATTTACGTTTAAAGTTGAAAATTTCCACTATTTAATAAAGTACGCAATTTTTCGATTTAAAATGAATTATACACTTATTTTTTTTACTTTTATATCCACTAACATTTCACTAATTCGTTTGTACACATTAATTCTACATTATCAAAAATAGTTTAATTTAATATTTACATTATTGTTAAATTCTATTAATTCTGACAATAACAAAATGTCAAATAACCAGTGTTACCTTATCGATATCTTCTGTAAATGAACTGAAAGAAATGAAAACAGATAATACCCCAAATACAGGAATCCAAAACCTAGAAAAATAAACTATTAGAGAGCATTGATGTTAAGGATTATGTTATACCCTCTATGACAATTTTACTTTTTCTTGTAGAAATCCGTTTTGCGTTGGGGGCTTTCGGCCGGTCTCCAAAAAAATAACCCTGGTCGGTCCAACACCGGGGTGTCCCAAGGTTTTTTCACGCAGAGATTATTTTTGCGTTGGCGGCCTTCAGCCGCGCTTTAAAAAAGAAATAATCAGACCAACACCAGGGTTTATTAAGTGAAGGAAACTAAAATATTTATTATTGTTCATCAACCATTATGGTTCCTGTATTTGCGGTATAATCTCTCTTATTATTTTATTTTTCGATGCGATGTTCCGCCGCCACAATGGGAAAGAAAAAATGGGCAAAGCACCCGAGCTCTGATGATTGTTGCGAAAGTAAGAATTCCCGAAGCTCTTAACGAACTGCACAACTGTCCAAGTGGAGGATACATGGCTATCACTAAAACTTTGTAGAAATTAAAACAAAGATTTTATTGAATTGGTTGTCGTTAATCAGTTACGAAGTGGATCGCCTATTGCTGTTAAAGGACCGAGGTCCAGGAGTCACGGTCAGATGAAGCAGTACAATTTGGGTGCATTCTGATGTGCCAGATTGGTATTCGGAAACTCCGTACATCTGCACTACATTCGCAGTCCGATGGCATGGTAGAACGATTCAATCGAACTTTGGAAGAACATTTGAGGAAAGTTGTGGACAAGTAACAAAAATATTGTCCATATATCCTTGTTCCTAATGGCTTATTGGTTTGCCGTTCATGAAACAACAGGGCAGACTCTAGAAAGGGTAATTTTTGGTAATGATCTTTGACTACCGATTGATTTGAAATTTGGAATTAACGTCATGGGAGGAAGCAATGCTAAGGAAGTCAACAGCATCCTAGACGACATTATGAGCGATAAAATGAAAGCAAAAATGATAAGCAATGAACTCTGAGGGTTTTATTGAAGAAGATTAGGTATTTTTATATAACCCACAACGAAAGAAAGGGCTATTTCCCAAATTATAGTGTAAATGGGAAGGACCATACCAAGTTATTAAACGACTCAATGATATTGTGTATCCATACAGACCATTGGAAGACCAAGGAATAAAATAAAGGTAGTTCATCTGGAACGGCTTGCAGCGTTTGGTACCACACATATATCTAGTCGGGACGATCAGATTTACAGAAACAACTAGATAGCGAAATTCGTAGTTGCCAGAATTTTCGAGTAGCAAAAAAGTAAAAAGCGGATTTCTCCATAAATCGGCTTCCTATAACTGGATCTCTGGAACTCTGATCAAAACAACTTAACGCTTTACTACTCATTATCCGAATTTTCAACGTCGAGTAGCGAAGATTCCTTAGCAATCTACTATATAAGGGCTGCCGAATTGTGCAGCCATTAAATTGAGACTTTTGTTTAACAATCCAGTGATCGAACACAAGAGTGAGTTATAGGTAGACGAATTATAGAGAAATCCGTTACAATATATTCATTACAAACTAAATTTTTCTTTTAATTACATTATTATTTTTTTTAAAAGCTTATATGTGGCTCATAGATAGTTAATATTAATTGTTAAATTTTAATAATTTACAATAGTTATACTAATAGGAAAATTAAATTTTATAATTTAAGAACTGAAGTTCAGCATGAAAACTTTCCATCAAAATTTGCAAATATTTAGAGTGAATAAAAAAGAAATTTCTTTTTGTATTTGTTAAAATTTTTTTTTTCATGTTTGTACACATTTCTTATAAAGAGCACATTACATTATTATTATTAAGGTAACAAAACAAAATGTTAAAATTAAAATCTGATGACATTTTCAAACTAAACAAAAGATTTTATGTTAAGATGAAGAAATCTTCCACTTTCAATTCCAATAAATAATATATACAGGTTAGTTAAAAAGTTTATGCTCTCACCAAGAAATACTAGCTCCAAAGTTTATTCTCAAGTTGGTTCTTATCTGTCGTGAAAACACATGCAAAGTTACAAGTCATTCTGTTAATTAATTCTTTGTTTACAATGTTTGAAGTTTGCGTGTCAGAGTATTTTTTTAATATGGAAAACATTGTATATTGCGCAGTGAATAGATTCTTTGCTTTAAATGGTTTAAAAGCAAAAGAAATTTATGAAAAATTATTAGAAGTGTAATATAAGGAGTCCTTATCTGAATTTAAACACGCAAAGGACGATCCAAAACCACAACTACACCAGAAATCATTGAGCAAGTTCATAATATTGTAAGTGAAGATACAAGTTTGACTAAACGTGAAACTGCTAATGCCACAGGAATCTCATACGAACAAGTACTTTATATTTTACCTGCAGATTTACATATAAAAAAGTTAGTGCCGCACAAGTTAACAATTCAACATAAACTGAATCGAAAACAAATTTATCAGCATGGTCTGGAGCATTTTAAGCAGAATAAAACCGATTTCTTGCGTCGTTTTATAAGTACGGATGAGAGTTGGATCTACCACCATAATCCTAAATTGAAACAAAAACGTCTACAATGGACTGAAGCTGTTTGTTCAGCTACAAAGCAGGTGAGGTCACAACGATCAGCAAAGAAGGTTATGGCATCACTTTTTTGGATTCAATAGGAATTTTGTTAATTGATTATATGCAGAAAGGTAAAACAATCAACTCTGAATATTATTGCAGTCTTTTGGATCAGCGGGGTGAAAAAATTCGTGAGAAAAGACCTGGTATGCAGCACAAAAAAATCATTTGTCATCAAGATAATGCACCTGCTCAGGTGTTTTAACAATGACAAAACGAACTCAAATTTAACGAATTAAAATACGAATTGCTGAAGCATCCACCGTATTCATTTCATTCAGATTTGGCTCCCAGCCACTACTACCTCTTCAGAAATTTGAAACTTGCTTGCGCTTGCTTTGTACACTTATGCTACCGCTATGTTTTCGTCCACGCAATTATATGAATATTTGTTTATGCACATTAGCTAGTCCCATTTAACATGTAGTAAGCTGAATATGTAAGCAGCCTCTTGCAATGCTGCGTTCCCATTTTTTTATATTTCTCTTTTGTTAATAACTAAACTATATACGAAGGAGCAATAGAGTAAAGTATATACTTGGAGTATTCTCCTTTTGTGAACTGTTTTTATGTAACTTACATACTTATGTATATATGCACTAATAGAAAACGAAACTATGTACTTAGCATTATGTATTGAACGGTATTGCAATATTGCTTAGAATATTATTTAAGAAGAAGAATATTGCGAATAAAGTTAGTCTAATAACTGACCACACATAGCATCATTACTCGGCCCTTTGTATTTTATCGCTGTTACAACTTCGCTTTTTCGATATTTGCGCGGCTACAAAAAAAGCTGTGTACTACATTTTTTGGCGCCCAACGTGCGGCACGAGTGAGTTTTTTTGTTCTTTCGCAAATCATTTCGGAGTGTGGTCAGTATTAGACTGCATCGTTGGACATTATCGTCGCTGGACATTATCGTCATTGGATATTTTCGTCATTGGAAATTATCGTCACCATTGGACATCTTTACCATTGGAGTCACCAGCATTGCTCGCACAAAGCACAGCACACCAGTTTGTCACCGCTAAGCCTCGTCGTTACCATTGCCTGTAGCTCATATTCGCATGTTCGTTGCATACCCATACATAAGTATAACTTGATTTTATAAATTTTGCGGTGAAATTAACTAATCACTTATTGCTTAACTACTCACTAGGAGTAGAAATATTATTATTTAAAATTTTGAAGTCTCTATAAAGTATATATAAAATCCTGTTCTGCAATGTCTTTAAACGAGCGACAACAACGCGCCAGCACCAAGAAAAATATTACACCAGCTTGCGACCAGGTGGAAAGGCTCTTTCAGCTGCGGAATACAAATGCCGTTTGGGCATCCTGGAGTCCTATTTTAAGCAGATTCTCTCAAATCAAACTGACATCGAAAGATTAGATGCTGATGATGGTGGACGTGCTGACCTGGAAGAACTTTACATCACAATTAAATTGGTTATCCAATCGCAATTGGCAGAAGATAACAACGTTTCACTTTCGGACACAACTTGCGTGGTACAATCAAGTTCAAAACTTCCACCACTTAAGCTTCCTACGTTTGATGGCAAGTATTCGAATTATCAAAATTTTATCACCTCGTTCAAGCAAATAATTGATCGTGAATTCAATTTAACTAATATTGAAAAATTCAACCATTTGCGAAATTGTCTCCAAGGTCAAGCCTTAGAAACTGTAAATGCGTTTCAAGTGACAAATGAAAACTATCCGAAGGCGT